GGTAGAGGGGCAGAGAGATGTTCCCAGAGTTCTGCACGCTCATACAAAAAGCCACACCTGAAGGAAGGGTCATCAAACTACCATTTGATTGCCAGACTTAACTCCATCCCTAGCCCCGAGTGTCTGGTTGACATCATCCTAACTACCACAGCTCCTTCAAGGAGTGTTATGCTGAAGAGACACAAGATCTTAACTAGAATAAAAATGAATTCAATTAATTAAAAAATACGGTGTGAGTTATAGTAAGAGTATTTCATTGATTTAAGATGCATGTCTGAGACGATGTATCTTAAAATAGGCACATCATGGTTTCATTAGCAACTTTTACTGTTTTCCACGTTACATAAAATAATAGAGTATCTCAAAATTGTTGGCAACTTAAGAGTAAGTGAAACAGTTTATATGTAAAATTTTCTATACAATATTTAACCCCGCAAATCTTAACCAACTGATAACTTTCAAAATGAGGATGTAGACATTTTCAGATACTTCTATCTAAGTTTAAATTCTTTACTCAGAAGATTCCTGTAGTGATCTCCCCCACCCGTTTCCAACAAATGGGGAAGCAGTGTTTGTAAATATGAAAACCATCTTTTGAAAATGTTTAGAAGGAAACAAACTGCTTCATGATTTCTCATGGCGAACAGATGGTGTGGCTAGTGTGTTCGAGGTAAAATTAATTAGACACCAGTAGACCCAAGCAGTGGTATAAATATGAATATAGTTTGGTTTTTCTTGTTATTCTGAAAGACTTGTAAATTATGTATATGTATATATATATGAAAATATTCTCAAATGGCATATCCTTGAGTTACATTTCAGCCATTCAGAGTTATTGTCTTAATAAGAAATATGTTGGAAAATACATTTAATCCTTGTGAAGCACACAGTTCCTATGGGAGGCTTACCTGGCTTCTTTTAGCTGGGGAGCCCATGGAAGGATTTTTGTTAGTCTGATAATTGGGGTCAGGTTTTCCTAGGCAACTCAACCCCATGAAAGCAGTTTACATACTTTCTTCCCAGTTGGACCCCCAAGAAAGCAGCAAACCAACAATCTCCTAGGACTTATTTGAAATGCAGGCTCTGGGGCCCACCCTGGACCTACTGACCCAGATTCTGTATTTTTAGCCAGGTCCCGTTGTGTAGAGGTTATGCCTTAGGATGCTAACCGCAAGGTCAGCAGTTTGAAACAACCAGCCGCTTTGAGGAAGAAAGATGGGGCTCTCAATTCCTGTAAAGAGTTCAGTCTCAGAAACTGACAGGGGCAGTTCTACCCTGTCCTATAGGATCTCTGTGAGTCAGAATTGACTTGATAGCAAGCTTGAGGGTTGCTGTTTTTTTTAAACCCAAGCAATTCATATGCATGTGAAAATCTGCCAAGTGCTAGGCTAGATTGTGGCTCTCCAGCTTGAACATTTATTCGGGTTAGCTATAGGGCTTGCTACAAGGATTGCTAGCCTACTAAAGAGATATGGCTTCAGTACTTTAGGTGCCATCAAGTTGCTTCTGGCTCATCACAACCTTGTACAACAGAACAAAACGTCACTCAGTCCTGCACCATCCTCACATCCTCATGCGTGAGCCCACTGTTGCAGACACGGTGTCAGCCCATTTTGTTGAGGGCCTTCCTCTTCATTGCAGACCCTCTACATTATCAAGCAGGATGCTCTTTTCCAGGCTTTGGTCTCTTCTGGTAATGTGTCCAAAGCACATAGATGAAGTCTCCCCATCCTTGCTTCTCAGGATCCTCTGGCTGTACTTCTTCCAGGACAGATTTGATTTGTTTTAGCAACCCAAGGTACTTTCAATATTCTTCGGCATCACCATAATTTAAATACATCTATTCTTCTTCAGTCTTCCTTATCCAGTATCCAACTTTCAAATACCTGTGTAGAAGTTAAAAATACCATGGCTTGGCTCAGGTGTGCTTTAGTTTTCAAAGTGACATCCTTGCTCTTCAATACTTTAAAGAGGTCCTGTGCACCAGATTTACCCAATGCAATGTGTCTTTTGATCTCTTGACTGCTTCTTCCATGATCATTGATTGTTAATCCAGACAAGATGAAATCCTTGAGAATATGAATCTTTTCATCATTTATCATGATGTTACTTATTGATCCAGTTGTGAGAATTTTTATTTCCTTTACGTTAACTTATAATCTCTATTGAAGATTGCAGTCCTTGATCTTCATCACAAATGCTCTTAGTCCTTGGAGTGTGTTTTCATTGTGTTTATTTATTTAATAAATAATTTTATAGGGGACTCTTACAGCTTTTATAGCCATTGATATATAGTTTTAAGCACATTTATCCATATGTTGCCATCATCATTTCCAAACATTTTCTATTAAGTCCTCTTCACTTACAGCAAGCAAGGTTATGCCATCTGCATCTCACAGGTTGTTAATAAGCCTTCCCCCAATCCTGCAGCCTCATTCTTATTCACATCATCCAGCTTTCCTGATTGTTTGCTCAGCATGAAAATAATGAAAGGTATGGTGAAAGGATACAACCTTGATACATCCTTTTCTTGACTTTTTTTTTTTTCCTTTTCCTGACTTTTATGTACTGGTTCTGCATGAACAGAATGACGTGTTCTGGAACTCCCTTTCTTAAGGTTATCCATAATTTGTTGTGTTCCATGCAGTCAAATGACTTGGCATAGTCAATAAAACACGAGTAACCACCGTTCTGGTATTCTATGCTTTGAGCCAAGATCCAAGTGACATCAGCAATGATAGCCCTTGTTTCATGACTTGTTCAGAATCCAGCCTGAACCTCTACCAGCTAGCTTCCTGTTCACATACTGCAGTAATCGATGTTGGATGATCTTCAGCAAAATTTTACGTACATGTGGTATTAATGATATTGTTCTATAATTTGAACATTCTTTTGAGTCACCTTTCTTTGGATTGGGGCCAAATATGGATCTCTAGACAATTGGCCAAGTATCCGTCTTCCAAATTTCTTGGCATAAAGAAAGGAGTGCTTCCAGTGCTTGATCAGCTTGTTGAAACATTTCACTTGCTGTTCTGCCAATTCATGGAGCTTTGTGTTTGGCTAGTGACTTCAGTGCAGCTTGGACTTCTTCATTCAGTACCAAGGTCTCAAGCAGAAAGGAAATGTTTTGAGAATGATGATGGCAACAAATGTACAAATGTGCTTGACACAATGGATGGATGGATGGATTGTGAAAAGAGTTGTACAGGCTCCAAAAAATGATTTAAAAAAAACTCAAAAAACTAGTACAGTGAGTTTCCAGATTATAGAAATTCATGCTTGCCGCCCTTTGCCCTCTTTAAAACAACTTAATCTGTAGTGCAGTAAATTACTTGATTAGTAACTTCCACCAAATATTGTAGTATTGTAGTGCTATCCAAATAAGTTGCTTGTGGCTCACCAAAGGGATTGGATCGCTTGCTAACAATGAAAATAAGGTACATAGCATCCTGTTGGGGTGGGCTTATGCAAATAAAGTGCACAGAGCCCTAAGTAGAAGAAGTGCTGGGTTTCTGGGCCCACGGAGTGGGGAAGTCCAGTGCCTTCAGGCAGTAAGCTGAGTGGGGTGCCTCTGAGCTCTGCATCAGAAGAGCTAAGGGAAGTTTATAGCACTTGCCCACACAGGCCAGACACCAAGAGGCCTTGGAGCTGAGAGACAGAGGGAGAGGCTGTCCTGATGGAAGAACTATATCCTAAGCATGCCTGAACTAGAATTGTAACTGTTATTTCCTTAAAATAAAACTTATAACCATGAGTGCTGTCTATGAAACACAACCAAAAAACCTCAGCATCAGGATTAGGGGAAGGTCCATAACCTTCGAGATGCAGATGATACAACCCTAAAGAGAATTTGAAGCACTTATTGATGAGATCTGAGATTATGGCCTTCAGTATGGATTATTTATACGTTAGCATCAAGAAAATAAAACAAAAATCCTTACAACGGAATCAGTAAGCAGCATCATGATAAACAGAAAAGATTGAAGTTCTTTTGAAGTTGGGGGTTTTGTGTGACTTGTATCCATGATTATTGTGCATGGAAGCAGCAGTCGAGAATCAATGTTTTGTATTGGGCAAATTTGCTTCAAAAGACCTCTTCATGTGACCTCCTCCCTGGGGGACAGACAACCGAAAAGTGGGTGAAGGGAGACGTCGGACAGGGCAAGATATGACAAAATAATAATTTATAAACTATCAAGGGCTCATGAGGGAGCGGGGAGCGGGGAGGGAGGGGAAAAATGAGGACCTAGTGTCGGGGGTTTAAGTGGAGAGAAAATGTTTTGAGAAACGATGTACAAATGCGCTTTACACAATTGATGTGTGTATGGATTGCGATAACAGTTGTATGAGCCCCTAATAAAATGTTAAAAAAAATAAATTAAAAAATAAAAAAGACATTTTAAATTACTTAAAAAAAAAAAAAGACCTCTTCAAAGTGTTAAAGAGCAAAAATGTTACTTTGAGGACTAAGTTGCACTTGTCCCAAACCACGTTATTTTCAGTCTCATGCACATAAAAGCTGGATAATGAATCGGGAAGACTGAAGAAGAATTGATGCATTTCAGTTACGGTGTTTGATGAAGACTGGACCTTGGACTGGCAGAAGAACAAACCAATCTGTGTAGAAAGAAGTACAGCCAGAATATTAGAAGCAAGAATGCTAAGAGTTTGTCTTGTGTACTTTGGACATGCTTTCAAGAAGGACCAGTTTCTGGAGAGGGCCATGAGTAAAGTGAAGGTCAGTGGAAAAGAGGAAGAGCTTCAATGAGATGGATTCACACAGGGACTCAACCATGGCAATGACAGTTAGATGGCACAGTACTGAGCACTGTTTCCTTTTGTTATCTCTGTGAGTTGTAATGGACTTAATGGTCACTAAGGACAATAATAAGGAGCCTGCCCTGGTGGCATAGTGGTTACTTGTTGAGCTGCTAACTGCAAGGTCAAAGCTTTGAAACCACCAACTGCTAGAAAGATGGGGATTTCTCCTTCCATAACGAGTCTCTCGGCCTTTTGGCTAAGATCAAGTGTCGTATCTGTACTTACCAGTTTAATATCTGATACTTCCTCTATCTGAGGACAGTATAGTAAATGGATTTTTGGAGCAGGGGGATGGAATAGGAGCTTGCTCTGTCTACTCCATGCATCGACCTGGTATTGCAGTACTTCCAGGAACAGTGCACACACCAAAAAGAGTCTCTGAAATTCAGAGGCATTTCAACTTTATGCCACCTAGAAGCTTTATGGGAGCAGATTGCTAAGTCTTCCTCCCCTGGAGCCACAGGTGAGTGAGAACCACCCGCCTTTCATACCAGGCCTTATCATTTTGTGTAGGCACAGGTGTATCTGTCCAATACATTTCTAGAGTTGAGCTTGCTAGATCAGTGACTCTGCATTTATATTATTTTGTAAAATCTGCCCAACGGTCCTGCCTCAAATTTGTATCCTTTGGTATTCTCACAAGCAATTTGTGAATCTTCTCCAAAGACTATTTCCTCAGCTGGATAAGTCAGAGACTCCATGTAGATTTCATGTGCATTACTCCCATGTTTAATGAGACTGAGTATCTTTTCAAGCTTATTGGCTACTTGCCTTTCACTTTCTATGAGCTATCTTTTTATACCCTCTGTGCATTTCTTTAAATCATTTTATTGGTGGCTCGTACAACTCAGCACAATTTATACATCCATCCATTGTGTCAAGTACATTTGTTGCCATTATC